CATCCATCCATCCATCCATCCATCCATCCATCCGTCCATCCATCCATCCATCCATCCATCCATCCATCCATCCATCCATCCATCCATCCATCTATAGAAAATATAAATATAATTTTAATCTGGGAGCATATTTTTTTATAATCTGCATTCATTCAAACGTAACAGTACTGTATTCTTTTTTTTTAAAGTTTAATTAAATCAAGTTTATCAATGTCTAGTTTATTTCTTATTTATAATTTCAAGTTTATGACGGGTAAACCACTTGCCTCCACTTTATTCAAGTGTGTGACCCACTTTACAAACTGGTATCATATTTTTTGTTATTTTATTTTTTGCACAAAAAAGAAACAATACATATAAAGGGAAAGATAAAAAACGAAATGTGCAGGAGAGGTCATAAAAACCCAAAGTGGGCTTGAAGCAGCCACCCCTCCTTTCTAAAAAAAAAAAAGAAAAAATTCATAAAAGCTTTATACATACATACGCTTAAATCTTACTTTAAACACACACAGACACACACCAAAGCAATAATAGATAATAGTTCACAAGAAATTTAAATTGACTAAAAATATTAAAATAAAAATAAATAAAACAAACGTGTTAAAAAAACATCTATAAACTTTGTTTCAACTTTCTTTTAGAAAATGTTCTAGATGATTCACTTAGTTGTTTTAAACTGTTCCACAACGCAACACCTTGATGCATGAATGAAACATTAGCAACAGTGGTTCTGCAGAAGGGGATATGTAAATCACACCTCCTTCTTGTAGAGTATGAACGATAATAAGAACGAAACCCAAAGAAATTATGAATTGTTTTGTTTCACGTTTGTCACATTTTAAATGTCAGTGGGGAACTTTGTTTATTCGACTGCATAGCGTTTTAGTTTTATTTTGAAACGCCAAACCGGACATTGCTACGTGCGTCATCTCACTTGACGCCGCTCTGCGTACAGTAGTAAGTCGCTGTAAGGTAACTTCCTTCACCAATCCTGGCTTTTTGCTTTCCGAGACGCCACCGCCAAGCTGCTAAGACTTGTAAAGCTCCTGGACGTTGTTAATCTTTGAATGAAGATAAAAAAAACAACAACATACGTCTTCAGTTTTACTCCGTTTTTAAAGCTAGCATCGAGTAAAAGTCGCCCCTTTTTAAATTCCCACCAAGCGACCGACAGACGATAAGGTTGGCGTCATGAAGGCTCTGCTTTTCAGACTAGTTTGGAAAAAAATCTGGTCTTGTCGGTGAATTCTCGGGAGATGGCAGAATAGTTCGCCCTGCGCGTGTTACCGAGCCTAAATAAAGCACGGTTTGAGGAGGATTAAAAAAAAAAAAAAAAAACCCCGCAAGGTAAGTTTAATTGTAACGCCTTTGAAATGCACAAGTTGATGCTAATGTGTGTTGTAGAAAATGCGACGTGGAAAAGTTTGCAGGGGAAGGTTTCGTGATGTGCACTCTCACGTACACGCGGAGCTTTGCTTTTCCCGTCAACTATCAATGACTTCATGTCTCATTTTCGCGACAATGCTGCGTTTTCCGCCTCTCAGCCCCGTCACCTGAAGTGGCCGCCGCGGGCAGATGTTTTTTGCTGACAGTGATGAATGTCAGGCCCAAAGGAAGAACATTACATTGTCTGGCTCCCAGCTGCAGAAGATCAGGCCCTTTTTTTGGGGGCCTTTCTTGTCCCATCATTGCATATTGGTGCATCATTAACATCACAATCTAAATCCAGCAGGAGGGAGAGCCAAAATCACAGCGTGGGGTTTCCAGTTGGCACCAAAAGTCTTAAACATCACAAGAGGTTTGGTGTGCTTTAACCCCACTGTGGAAAAAGACCAAACAGGAAATGTTATTTTAATGTTGAAGCAAAGACTTGCTGATGAGAGGGTGTAGGCTTCATTACAGAGGTGTTAAGCTGGCTGAAGACCCCCCCCCCCCCCCCCAAGAGGCAACTCCTGTTTGAACTCCTGTGTGAATTGTTTTCCACACAACTCCACAAAAACATCCATTCAGGTATCTTATCAGTTCATTCCTCGCTAATAGTTTATTGGCTTTGAAAGTGAGCGGACAGGCATTATATATTCTGCTCTGGTTGTAATCAACACCTGGCTAATTGTGGGATGTATTCAAGGTGAAACACCTGGACTGTCTGACCCAATTTAAATTAATGATCCGAAGTGTTTGAAAGAAGTGTCTGTTGTGTATTGATGAAAACCAAAACGATGCGAGTGCAGTTGAGCTTAAAAAGTAATGCGTTCTCAGGCTTTTCATTTTACAGAGTGGGAGAACTGGAAACGCACTGGTCAGAGAAGGCTGATTTGAGGGCTCACTATCCAGGGGAGTTTTCTTTTTTGTCGTCTGTGGCTGTGTTAAGTTGCACTTGGTGGCTGCGCGTTTGAATGCAACTTGGTCACTGACCAGTTTTCTGAGCTGTGGTGTCCTCAGACTTGCAGTGTGGGGTCTGGCAGGCAGTGGTCAGATGTTAGGACGTCAGACAGTCTGAGCTAGATCACCAGATCTAATTCCCCACTCATCTGAGTGATGTTAGCATGCAGACAGGCCAGCACTTTGTGGACAGTTTTTTTTGCCTCTGTCATTAAAGTATTACCAAATACGGTAGTCCTTCGCTACTTGGAGTTTTGTTTTTTGCAGACTCGGATCTATCGCAGCTTTTCAAATTAAGATCGGACATGACACACAGGTGGCTGATGATGGATGAGCTGCACGATCAGCATGGCATTTTTATTTAAAATAAATTTATTTTAAATTATTTAGTATCTGTGTGCAGCCCACAGCTGCAGGAGAAGCTTCCTCCTGCAGATGATCAGCTGATCTCTGCTCTGCAGTGGAGAAGTGGGTGTGGCCAACAGGTGGCAGTGGACTGCAGTGGAGAAGTGGGTGTGGCCAACAGGTGGCAGCGGAGCAGGAGGCAGAGCTGAAATCATGACATTCTGTGCTCTTTTAGAGCGTTTAGAGTTTAGAAACATATACCTGTATATATACTACTACTTACTAGGGGTGTAACAGTACACTAAAATCACATTTCGGTTCAATTTCAGTACAAAAAAAGGCCAAAATAAAGACTTACAAAATGTTTATTTTGAAAATATGCCAAGTAAACAAGTTCAGTCATTACAGACTTCTTAGCTGGAGGTGATCTGGTGGATGAAGAAGACTCGGCTCTATCTCGTTGACATCCTCAGACTGCAAACAGCACAAAGATTTTAAAACATTGAGTTAATAAGATTATAATTTTAAATAAAAAGTTCATTAGGTCACAATAATACAATAACATTACCTCTTCTTGCACGGTCATCATTTCTGTTCTCTCTCGCTCATCATCTTCTGGGCAGGGCTGTAAATCTGGACTCCTGGGCATGTTGACAATATCAGTTTTGGCTTTTTTTATAAAGTGCTGCTACAACTTTTTGGCCGAAGTGTTGGCGTGATGGGATGTCGTAGCGGGGCTCAAAAACTTTAAAGCCGGCGCATCAGCAACAGAATATGGACGTAGATCCATAGCTCTAAAAACTCCTCCAGCTTGTGTTATTGCTTTGGACTGCTCTGAATGAAGAAAGTGTATTGAAGCCTTAAAACTTAAGAGCTGCCGATTGAATGCCAATTTGCCACCCTGACCATTTATCTACACCCCCCCCCCCCCCCCCATCATTTTTTTGTGATCTGAAAATCAGACTAAAATCTACGTAGTGTTTGTTTTTTTAAAGGTTATGAGTAGAACAAGGTTAATGTTTCATGAAAAGGTTTGCTGAAATGCTCTGCAGCCTTCGCAATGCACTGGAGGCTATTCCTTTCTTTTAAATAAGAGCAAAAACACCCTCGCAGGCATTTCTGTTTGAAAAACTTGTTCTAAATGAGCTCCGGGATACTTAAATTTAATGACTGTTGGCTAATGATTGACAGATCAACAACTTGTCTGATTTCCTTCTTATTTCAGAAACGGCATAATGTCAAGTTACAAATCTACAACAAATGACCACCTGTGACTGGACTTTTTCAACTTTATCAGCCAAATGTCTATGATCGATAAGTAATATTTGTATAATTTTTTTTTGAATTACCATTTTTAGTTTAAGAAATGTGACTGTGCATCAGTCTAGTTTTCATCAATACAAGTCATCCTCTGAGCTGTGACAATTTTATAAGATGAGTGAACAAAGACGACAACAGTCGAGCACAAGGGACTTTCACAAAACAAAAGTTTGGACTTACAGGCTGTGTTCACGCCGCAGGACTTAATGCTCAATTCCAATATTTTTTTTGCGTGGCTGTTCACATTACAGGGGTCATAAGCGGTTTCTGCTTGTCCAAGACGACCTGTGTTTGTATTGGACCATGAGATTTCACTGTGAGGTTGTCCGGTGTACAACCAAATGAAAGAAACATGGATTAAAGTTTTCCGTTGTCACAATGGATTGCCTTCAATGTAACGTGAACGGGGGGAACCATGCTTTTTGTTGTAGTCTTTTTAAAAGCCATTCAATCTAATGATAATACAGGGATTAAACTAATGCTGCTTTGAACAAATAAAGAGAACCAGAACCACAGTTTGATCAGAGAAGAGCAAGTCGTATTGTGTGATACACGTTGAGGTGAGCGCACCAATCTGTGTTCGTGATGAGGGAACTGATGCATCATCAACCTTGCACCGCGCCCCCCAACCTCCCCGGGACTTTTGTATCTAAAATCTAACTTTGTAGTAAACGGTATCGTGTTCTGAGTGTCGTCATCATCGCACAACTTTATATGATCAAACTTGAGCATGACCAAGCTCCAGGTCCGAGAGAGTGTGCCACCGCGGGGGCGAGCGTGGCCTGTTTGTGTGTCTCACGGTGAGAGAGACTGCGTCTGCTGCGCTAGTTCTTAGAATTAAACAATATTAAAACTCTCCGTGCATGCGTGGGTTTTCTCCAGGTACTCCAGTTTCTTCCCACAGACCAAAAACATGCATGTTAGGCTGATTGGTAACTAAATTGTCCCTAGATGTGAGTGTGTGTGAATGGTCTTTTGTCTCCATGTGTCCCTGTGATGGACTGGAGACATGTCCACAGACTGTATCACACCTCTTGCACAGTGACTGCTGGATATGGGCACCAGTGACCCCGCGACTTGAAAAGGAAGAAGCCGGTAAAAGATAATGGATGGATGGTGTTTTCGGAATAACAAGGTGTTGTGACTTATCGGATGAGCTAAACTTGTTTATGTTTACGATCATACAGAGAGGTAACTGTACTGGGATACATGCAATTTATTAAATGATCAAATGTGAAAAATAAACAATATTAAATGATTACATGAGTTGAAATCCTGTAAACATAATAGTCATTTTGGCAAAAAAAAAAAAAAAAAAAAAAAAGAAGCCATTTTAAAATTTATACTCCGTAAAGGACTTTCTGTTCTGTAATTTTTTTAAACACTTCTGACAACCCCTCAATTGAAAACAAATGACAAAAGTAAACTGCAGAAAAGTTTTAAACCCCTCTCTTCCTTCAGAATGCCACTGGTCTTGATGCTGCAGGTTAAAGTCTTGCAGCTTCATTGCTACTTGAGAGAACACTATACTGTGTACTTTTACTAAGGTCATGTACTTAGTATATTGTGTACTTTTAATAAGGTCTAGGGCTGTTGTAAACATTATTTTAGTAATTGAGTAATCTGTCTATTATTCTGGCGATTAATCGACTAGTCAGAAACTAAATGTCAGGTTCTTCAGTAAATACTGTATTTTCCGCCGTACACGTCGCACCGCCCCATAAGTCGCATCAGACCAAATATGTCTAATAAAGTGGAAAAATCCACAAATGCGTCACTTCACCGTATACATCGCATCTATTATGCTTCACCGCTGACGACCCGGAAATGTGGGTCGGTGTCGTGCCGAAAATCGATTGGCTGCCAAATGGCGGGAGCATGCACGGGAGGACTTTTAACAAGAATTTAACAAGATTAACACTTAAAAACAATTATTTGTTTGCTCGAAATTATAGCAAAGGTATGTCTCAGTGTGACTTTTCCTTAATAAATGCACTTTGATGGCCAAATCAGCTGCATTTCAAAAGCCGATACGCGGAAGTAGGCGTGTGCACGGGAGGACTCGCCATGCATTTCTTCGAAATTTAAGAAGATAACCACCTAAACAATTATTTGTTTGATCAAAATGATAGTAAAGGTGTGTCTCAGACTATCTCACAGACGTAAAAGTCAGATGAAATGCGACATGACCGTTCAGACTGAGGTCACTTTGTAAAACATTGTATATGTATCCCATTTAGTACGTAGGCCAGTACAATTATTAAATACCCCTTCTTCATCCCTGGTCCCTGATCTGGTTTAATGGCTTTTTCTTTTTTTTTTTTTTTTTTGTTTTTGCCAAAAGGCAAGCAATCTCTTCCTCTTTCTCTGTTGACGCCATGACGGAAATGGTGATAAATGAAGGAGTTTGTCACGAGCGAATTAAAATCAGGTGCAGCGTGGACGCTTGAGTATGAAGTCTCAACCCTCTACGGACAGTGCACGTCGAGTCTGCGCGGAAAAATGTCCACGCGAATATACTGGAGCCTTTACCAAACTGGTAAATGTTGTTTGAGGCTTATTTTTCCTCAACACCCCCGCCCCCCTACATACACAAACCAACAACTTTAGATAAAGATGTCTTAAGGAATTACTTTCAAATTGGAGTCTGCCAAGAAAACCAGTAGTGAGGCTCTACAAGGTTTTGAATGGTTTGATAAGTCATGGAATTTGTACTGAATTAAATGGTTAGTTGATCAATAAAATAGATCAATAAGCCACTTGCAACTTATAAATGATTAGGTGAAAGTGTCTGTATTCTCCCTGCCTCCTAGTTTTACTTCTACATTTTGGACATTCATCACACCACTGATTTTTAATGTCTAAAAAATAAACCTGACAAATCTTTTTTTTTAATATCTATAATAGAGTTTATACTAGATACAACTACACATTGACTTAAGACTTATGGAAAATTCAAAAGGCAAAGTAGGTGAAACTATCAAATGGGATCCCTACTTTTTACCCTTTTGGTGTTTTGCACTTCTAAAAATGTCCTAAATAGTTTGCTATCGCTAATTTAATATAAATTAGTTGCAAAGTAGTATGATTTTTTTTTGTTTGATTAGCTTTTATTGTTTCAACTAGATCATAGTTGGTAACGTCTCACTTTTTCAGTTTTACATGTGATTATTATTTTTTTCTTTCTGCTTGATTTGAAAATGTATTTTAATTTTCACATCTGCTGTAGAGTCCTTATTGTCTCCTTCACTTCTGCAGATGCTCAGTTTAGTTATTGTAATAGATTAAAACATGTCTAATGGTGGTCTGAGCATTTAAAATCACAACATTGGGGCAGTATATTTTTATTTTTGGAGTGGGGGACAGAGCTTGGGTAACAATAATTTCTCTGCTCAATAATTTGTCATTACCGGCTGGAGCAATGTATAAGTGTGGCGACGGCCGAGGGCTAGTTTTAAAAACCTGTGAGAAGGTGCGAGTGTGTATATTCTTGTGTGTGTAGAATCGGGTTAAACAGTCTGTTATTAACAAGAAAACTGCTGTTATGAAACCAAGATGGGCTTCTTCAAGTCTGAGCACGAGCCGGGGGATCGTCACGCTTTAATGTAGGTGGTATGAGGTTTATGTAGGTGGGAGGTGGAGGCTCGGGTGTAAAACAGGGAGCAGGGTTTGGCTTTAAGTCTGGCATCATAATGGTGGCCTTGCTTTACTTTTTGTCCTGGTTTTGTGTGCATGTGCTGACTTCCTCGAAAGTTTGACTTGACAACAGACCTGGCATCAGATGAGGCAGCAGACTGCAGAGAAACGCAGCATGTGGGTTGGATTTGCTCCTTGTGTCCAGCTTTTTAGAAAGAGGCCCTCTATGTCTGCAGTGTTATTTTTAGTCAAAAAAGTCCTTGAGCCTTTTAATAATCATCAGCCTTATGTAGCCCAAACGCATCACGATGAAGGGAGCTGTCTGGGCCTTGCGGGTTCTGCAGTCTCAGCAGGACGCAGGAAGTTAGAGGGGAAAAAAGAGAATGGGATAAAAGGCTACGTGTGTACCTGCCAGATTTTAGACTTGTTTCAGTGCTTACTGTTTGGGAGCTCACCCTCCTTTTAGTCTGGTGGCTCTGAACAGACTTATTGATTCCTCCTATTCTGTGTTCAAATGTGGATGAAGAGCAGTGGAGACAGAGAAGGGAGGCGAGACACTGTTGTCTGCACAGATGCACGCCCGCATAGATTTGTAGTTCTTGTGGCTCCGCTCCTCTCTACACTAACCTCAGACTGCACTGGAGACAGTCTGCCATACACATTTTATAAGCCCTTACCCGCTCCAGTGCTCCTGTCTTATCGCTCAGCTGTCGGGGCAAAGTTATGGTTTTGTGTTAGCTGCAACATCTCTCTGATCTCATTCACAGGCATGGACTGGGGAGCTTGTTTGGTGCGGGCATTTTGTCTACAATTTGAGAATAATCCTTCATCTTGCCATCACTGGCTATATTCATGCAGTTTGGTTATGGGTAATTTGCTGTTACTGTTTATAGAGCATTTTTATACTGGTAATTAGGGCTGGACAATGTGGACCAAAATTAATATCTTGATAAGATAAATCGCAATATACTATGTATATCTCAATATTCAAACATCTGCTAAGTTCATGTCACAAACCAATGCAGACATGTCCCTGTTTTTAGTATATTACATCGCTTTATAATGTCGCTGTTTTTGTTTCGTTTTTTTAATATAATTTTCTTCCATTTATTTTTTCAATTCATATGCTTTATTTTATGATTGTCTACTATTGACATCAATGTTAAAAACAGGTCTCTTTTGTAAATGAGTCCACGGCTCAGTGAGACTAACCTGTATGAATAAAGGTTGAATGAATTAAAAAAAATTTCTTTCCGTAAAATAATAACAAAAATATATTTCTGAGTCAATGCTTTGTCCCAATTTTCACACAGGCACATTTATTAATAAACAGCTGTAACTCTACTAAATGTCTGAAAAATA